AAAACTGGAGAAAGGAAGGGTGATTGCCATGAGATTCATAGGAATAATTAAAATCATCAGCAAAAGAGAGAGCTCTCTTTCTGCCCATAATAAAATACTGATGTCAAATTGATAGGTTTTTAATTTTTTCATTATATGTCTCATCAAATAGATAGTTAGGGATAAGCTAAATGTATTTTGACTTATTTTGTTTTAGTTTTTCTTATCTAGTTCACATAAAAAAATAAATTATTAGCAGTATAAATATTCAGTATTATTCAGTTCTCTGAGTAAAAGAGTATGTAATGCCTTTGGATGGAATCATGCTTTATTTTCTTATTTATGGCTCCTCCTATGTTAGAGCTAGAGTACTGGATCCTCTTCTCCCATCAGCTTATAGGATTATTCTGAAACAAAGACCCATATTTCCTTGGCTATTGGATTGTCCAGAAGGCTAGAGGTACATTTTTGCTGCAGTTATCATGTTTATGAAGATCTACACTGCCTTAAAGTGTTCTACAAATTCATTAAAGATCATATTTAAAAATCAGAGTAAATAAAACTCATTTGGGACAGCGTAGGTATCCATTGCAATCTGAACTACCTGCCCAGACTCCAGAGCATTTCCCCTTTACTGTGTGCAGAGGTACTCTTTAAAATCTGAAGACAATACTTAGTGCTAGTATAATTTTTTTCAAATGGCTGGTGTCTCCTGCATTTACAGCATTTTAGTATCTGAGCACATATACCTTTTGAATATTTTAAGGATATTTTTGAATATCATAGGAGCCCAAAGGGTAGGTCAGTGCTCCCATCTGTCTTGCAAGATGCAAAGTGACATTCTGAATGTGACAAAAATATCACAGCAGAGTGTACCTAGAAATGGAGCTCATTGCCATGGATTTCAGTCAATTTTCTTTAAAAAAGTCTCTCAGTTCTTAATTTGTCTGATACAACCCAATTTAGGGTGTTAAGACTGATTATTCAGGGGCAAACCTTGAGTGGTCCATACAGTGTAAAAATACAGAGTTGTTTTCTTAAACAAAGTGATCCATTTTCACAGAACTCCTAACTGGAAGAAGCTGTTACAAACCACTGGCTGGGGTGATTCCCACCCCTCCACCCCCACTGCAGGGTACTGCATGTCAGCAACACCCGTACAGGGCCCAGCGGCTTGTGCTTCACAAAAAGCATTTCTGCCAGAGAGGATCCAGCCTTGATCTGAAAATCGGGAGATCTATATTCTGCTGCCATTTGCAGCTTGTCTGGTTGCATCTTGCATTAATTCACCAAATACCTGCCTCTTCTGACTGAGTCCTCACCACCATCTCCCTGTACAAGTTGTGTTGTGCAGACGGACCACTCCTCAAATAGACTTCAGGGCTGATAAAATCGGAGCTGCTGCCTCCAGGGTTTTGAATACTGCTTTAGCTCTTTCTTGTGCATCTCCAGGATTTCACAATGTAATTTTAAAGATCTGTAGATCAGAACTGAACTTTCAATTCCATTTTTGCTCATGCTGCTTTTTCTGAAAGGACGAGATATATTGGAGGAGTGCGTTACCCCTCCTTGCCACACTTGCTCAAGCAGGCTCACTGCTGGAGCCTCCTGCCAGGTTCAGGCTTGTGGCACTCTGGATGGAGGCTTTCATTTCAGAGATGTGGCTAGAACCTGTCATCCAGGGTTTTTTCAGTTTTACATTTGACATTTGTATATTGTGTTACTGTGCAACTTCTTTTTTATTTCTTTTCTTCCCCACCTGTCCTGCTCACGCCATCCCAGCAGTGGAGGAGCATTTTTTGGTTTGTTGTTCCTTTCAAATGGCCCCAAGCTGGAGTGATTTGGATTTCTCTGTATAATCGTGCTGTCCTGATTCATATCTCTGCCAGTCTAAGTTATCTGCTCCAAATTTTGAAATGTGTATTTCCATCATTGGAATGATGGAAAAACCATTGGGATTTACACTCTGAAACATCACTCTAAATATTGTGATTTGATGCTATTTTCCTGTTTGCAGGTACTTTGGAGACCTGACAGATAGCCTAAGCATTGATCCTATACTTTACTGAATGGCATAGCTGAGTGTGTAAGTTAGGCCACTGAAGACAAAACGTAGTGGAGTTGGGTGAGATGAAAAGGAAGTAGTTCTCTTATGTTCAGGCAATTTACATGCGTGGTTTGTTCAGTTCTGTTTCTAAGTACGTATCGAACATGACGTTCTTTATGTCTGAAATAGTAGCAGAATAACCTAGTGGTTGCTAAGGTAATGAGAACCCACCGTTCCCTTACCAATTCATGTAAGTAAAGTATGGAATTTAATTTCACTCTGTGTTACCTGAGGCAGCTCTGGCATCTGATAAAAAAATGATCTTCACATTCTTATCCTCTTCCTTTCTGACTTTCATTGAAATACTGAGATGTTTCTCTTTTTGTAAATAAATGAGGCTGCCCTGCAGATGGTGGGGTAGAAAGTAGACTAAGAATTACATCTTTTGTCTTACAGCTGTTTTTACTCTCAAAGTATATTTGTCTTCCTGCTGAAACACTTCTATTGCTTGTGATAGGGACTGAAGATTTGACTGCCATAAAAGTTCTTCTTTCTGTTTTTCTCCTGATGAAGAACTTACATGTTTATTGTCTGTTCTGGTGCTGTGGATTGAAAGCACAGCATGAGCATGAATCTTAGATTTATTTCTTCATCAAAGGAAGGAAGGTTCCTTTCTGATTGTGTATCAAAAGCAATATGGTAAAAACAGAAATTTGCAAACACAGGACACCAGTAGTTGAATGACTGAGATGCTTACCTGATGAAACGATTTTTGACAAAGATTGTCACTGCCTTGGGAGTGCAGGCAGCAAACAAGAAATCTGAAGGGGCTCTGACCAGTGTGCAGCCAGGCAATGCTGCACCCCAGGCCACCTTGACTTTGTAATGGAAAAAGAGAATCTGTATTGAGCTACTCAATCACCTGAGTCCACCAGGCTGGCCTTGCAAGATTCTATCTCTTACCTTCATGAAGAGCAAGAAGAAACAGCTGAGGCATAGGATGGAGTTATGCTTGGAGTAAGGGGATCTATTGTAAGAGAAAGGCAGCTTGTTATGCTGCATTATGCACCAGCAGAATAGTATTCCTGCTTTTTTATGCTACAAATTGTGAAACAATGTATGTCTTAACCATGTCAAATTGATACCAAGTCATGGGTCACTTGCAAATGTAAATTGCCACAAGTGGGCTATTTTAGCCTAGTAACTGTTTGGATATCAAGACTTTATATTCCAATAGTCTGTTTACTCAGAGAAGTGGATCAGGGAGGTGGAGTGGACAGCTGGCATAATATATGGACACTTGAACTTGGAAACGAAAAGACAGCTGCTGGATCTAATTTTAAACATAGGTCTTGGTCAGATCGCTCTAGATCCTGCTTGTCCTGCTGCAGCAAAGTCATTAATGGTAGTAGAGAGGCGTGAAGTTGAAGATACTGATAAAGAACTTTTGTGAGGAAGGGAATCACCCTTGTTCCAGTTATGGTATTTCCATTTTTCACAGTAAGTATTGTTAGCTTCCAGAGAATGGGAGTGGAAATGGTTTCTGGCTGGTACATGGTCTAATGCTGTTGACACGGGCAGCTTTTCTGGGGTGTCTTAATGGGCAGTGGGACTCGCTGTCCTGAAAGTACAAGGGCAGTCAGCGCTGTTTCAAACGAGGAAACTATGTAACAGAGTGGGGATTTTCCTAATATTTTAAAATAACACATAGTTACATGTCAGTCAGATTATAATTCCGAGTTTTTACATCACGGCTCGGGAATGCGGCGGCGTTAGCGGCGGTCTGCAGCTCCATCTAGAGGGGCGCGGCAAATCCTCCTTCCTCGGGTTTGGATTCGGTTGGGGATTTTTTTTTTTTGTTTTGGTTTTTTGGTTTGTTTTTTTTTTTTTTTTTTTTTTTTTTTTTTTTAGCAAGTACAAAAAATAACCACGATCAATATCGTACCGATAGAATACTTCATTTGGGATTAGCCAGTTCATTAATTCAGCAGCTGGTTAAGTGTTTTTGAGTTTCTGTTTTGCTTTCAGAATGCCGTTACCAAGCTGGGGGGTTTTTTATTTGTTTGTTTTAAAGTGTGTTAGTATTGTTCTGCTTTATTAGGACTATGATGCTTAAATTAAGGGCTATGGAAACATTTCTGGTATTCACCCTCTTTAGGAAGTTAGCTAACCTCTGGGAAATTTGGAACCAAGCAGCGTATCACTCGTCTGAGGTGAAGATTCCCCTCTGCTAGACCACTCTGTCAACCACAATAGGTTTAGAAGTAACAGCTTTGCTGGTTAATATCTACTTCAAGAAAGTGAAACGTCCAAATTTTTTAAATATCCGATTTCCTTTTTAGTAACAGGAAACTTGATGAAATAAGAATAAAGAATAAACATAATTTCTGGTTTTATTACAAAACTTTAAACTGCAACTTGAATTTACATCTGTGGAGCTTGGTTAGGGCAGAAAATATAATTATATTTTTCTAAAGGCAGTCTAAGATGGTGTGAATCTCCAATACAGAGAGACAGTCTAAATTAATTAATGATCACATTCAAATATAAAAGCAGTATGCATTTATCTGTCTTTTTTCCTAAGGCTATCTTAAGTGGATAAAATATATTTATTCTAATGTGGCATATAAAATCTGTTTAAACCATTGTAAATAGCAAGAAAAGAGCTGAGAGCTGGAGTTGTAGGACAGAGGCCATAAATGGCCAAGTAGGAGGTCATATTTCATTTAAGTGAGGCCCCTAATATCAACATTATTAGCCCAGCTAGTATTAGATTTGTGTTATATTTAAACCTTCAGCTTTTCTGCCTCCTGCACAAGTGAATGCTGTTCTCGTTGATTGAACTCAAAGGCTTTGAAGTGCCAGCTGCCAAGAGTGGTTTATTTCGGATCTTCTATCCCATGGTTGCCTATGTATCCTTTCTAAGCGTGAATTTTTGTCTGCACCTCCTATTTAATGCTCTTACTGTCAACAGGCTAGTTCAGAAGTACCGAAATTGCGGAAGGAAGATCAGAAAGCACGAAACGCACTCTTGGCTGATATCCAGCAGGGAACTCGCTTAAGAAAAGTGACTCAAATCAACGATCGCAGTGCACCACAGATTGAAAGTAAGTGTGTGCTCCTCAGCAAGGCCTGAGTGAGCTTCGCTGAAGCCTCAGGTGTGGGTGGAGATCAGCTGGAGAGTTTCACACGGAAGGTTTGAAGTTCAGCAAAGGTCTGTATCTTCATATGGCTTTAGGATGCAGAGAGGGGACACTGTCTAAGCTTGCATCCTGCTCTGAGATCAGAAAGTATTAACATTTCATGATAAGTCTGTAGCTGGATATCTCCTTAACAGGCATTCCTTGTCAAAAAAAATAAAAAATCATGAATGATTAAATCCTTGAGAGTTTCTCAATAAAAAAATTAAGCAAGAATTGTTGGCTCTTGCAGAAAAATTGTTCCTTACTAGATTAAAAGAACAAAAAATGCCAAAAAATCTTGGAAACATAAATTTAATGTTAGGCCTAACACGTCTTCTTCTTCTTGGTGTCATGATTAATGTGAGATTAAAGAGCACCAGAGGGTGCTGTGCTCCAAATTACAGGTCCAAGAGTGATGGCAGTTACTGTAGTAACAGTGGAGGGAAAAGTCTGGCCTTGGCCGTTTGTTGGTGCCAAGCCTTAGCAGTCTTAGGGTAAGGATGAAATGATTTTCTGATATACCCTGTGTTTTGGTTCTTTTAACAGAACCCAAAGGAGCTAACAGAGATGGAGTTAATCCAGTTGTCAATAAAGGTGGCTCTCAGCAGCCTCTGGGAGGTTTATTTGCTGGTGGCTTTCCTGTTCTCAGACCAGCAGGCCAGAGGGACATGACAGGTAAGGACTTTATTTGTATGAAAGCATAGCTGAGGGGAGCAGTGATTTGGGATAAAAACACTTTAGTTAGCTTTAGTGATTGATTTTTATTGGGGTTTTTTTCTGAATCTTTAGTTCATCATGTGACCACGGAGGGCTCAATTAGTAACGTGCTTGAAGCCATCTTTCTAGATCTCAGGTGCCTTATTTGTTAAAGTGTAAATAAAAGGCTTTTTCCACACTGGGTAGGAAAGAGATTGAATAGATGTCTTTAACCGAGCTTTTTACATTATTTTAATGAAAACTTCTAATTGTACCTCAGAGTGTTGAAATCTGAGCTTATCATTTCAGCACAAATTGCAAAGTCATATTTCCTTCCCTCTATTAGCACATATTTCTGTGGTATTACAGTCTTGGTTGTTACTTTAAAGATTCGTATTATAGATTTTTGCCCTCTGGACTTTACAAAGTATAGTTTTGATCCAGCAAGGTTATTTATTGACCTGAAAAAGTGTTTTGTTGCTTCACAATGACAGGAGGAAGGCAAATGTGGGAGCCCTACTGTTCCTTTCCCCTCAAGAAGTGCCAGCATCAATGAAGGGTGACTGTTAGAGTCACAGTGATGACCTCTGGTGCTGTTGGGCAGCTGGTGCCTGATCAGGCAGCACAGAGCAAAGCAGGCTTTTGCAGGGAAAGACTTTGGTTCTGCCTGCAAGGTTTTTTCTCCTGGAAGGCAAGCCCAAGATGCACAGCACTGCATGTGATAGGGCTTCCTCACAAAGCTTCAGCTGCAGCAGCTACTTTGAGTTGTTTTTAAAATTGTGGCCATGCCTATCAAACTATGTGAGTATAGAATGAGATGCCTTTTTTGACATCTTGCTTTGTGATAAATCCTTGACATTTACACAGGAAAATACATTTTGTAGAGTCGACAGTCTTTGGGCATTTGCTGTTGAAAATATTTGAACCCGTGCCTCCTGGAAAGTCTTTGAGGTATTGCTTTTAAGAGCTTGGCTTTTGTTCATGGAGTTGAGATTTATGTAAAGTTTATGTGAATTTTTTAATCCTAAGCAATCGCTTAATTTCAAGGATGCAATATGATGTGTGTCAAACTACCTTTTCACCAGGACTCAGCAATGCTCAGCTGGCTGTACTAGACAGATGAGGCTGGTGTGAAGGACCCCAGATCTCTGCAGAGAAGCCCCTTTTCCTTAAACTGCTTCATTTTGCAGAAACTGAAGAAGAGGGAGGGGGCTAGGGTGTCTCAGCAGTTCGTCATATAACTAAGCAGAATCCCTTGTGCCCATGGGAGTACTTCACATCCTAAGTCCCATTGCACCATGGGCAACCTGTTGGATACGAGATGTTTTGGAAGAATTAGTTTAACCCCTCAGGGTATCCACCGGGGAGGGGAAGACGAAGACCTTGCTCTTTGCGCTGTTTTGTCTGACGAGCGGGAACGCGGTCCTGCAGGATAACGCGTGACATTCTGTTTTCAGCAGGGAGGCCTGGGCAGGTTTCCGGAGTCCGAGCAGCGGCCCCCAAACACTCCGCCCCAGCGAACAGCGGCGCTGCCAAGCCGAGCAGTAACCCCTCGCACCCAGCCGAAGGTCCAAGGGCAGCTGTGCCACCAGAGCCTCCCAGCACCTCCGGAGCGGAGCGGAGCCGGCCCCGGGCGGCCCAGCCTGCCCGCCCCCCCCTCCACCGCCTCCCGCTTCCAGCAAACCTACCCTCACTTTCCCTCCTCCTCCCCCTCTCCCTCCTCCGGCCGATCGCCCTCCAAGGGGGTGACGCCCGGGCGCGACCCCTCTCGCCCCCGCTCCCTCCTCCCCGCTGACAAACCCGCCAAGTCTCCAGCAGGCGCTTCACACCCGCCCCAACCGCCCCCTCCTCTCCTCCTCCTCCTCCTCCCCCTCCCCTGCCCCTCGTCCCCCCCTGCGGGCTGCCGGCCAGGGACTGCCGATGTTCCCCTGCGGCTTACCGCCCCCTCCAGCCGAAGGGAGGGACTGTCCCCCTCCCACGCCGCCTCCCCCCCCTCCGCCGCCGCCCCACGCCACGCCACGGTCCCAGCGAACAGGCTCTCCTTTCCCCCCTCCCCAGCCTTTAGCGGTGCTGACGTGCCCCCTCCGCTGCCCCCCAAGTCTCCCCACTTGCTGTCACAGTTCCATAAGCCAAGCAACATCCAGTCGCTGCCGCTCCCACCCACCCCCGGCCACCCTCAGCCCGCAGCCGGGACAGAGACCAGGAAAAAGAGACCCGGCCGAGGCGCAGGTGAGAGCAGAACATCGGGAGGAGGGAGGCTTTTTGCTCCCTTTGGCAAAACTGAGAGAAATCATAGAATGGTTCGGGTTGGAAAGGGACCTTGAGGATGATCTAGTCCTTCAAGGTCCCCTTCCAACCCAAACCATTCTATTGCACTGGTGACTGGATGGCTTGGTGGGGTGGGAGTGAAGAGCACTCATGGGAGGAATACCTGTAGGTTACACGGCATGTCATGAACACCCAAAACAGCAGGCTTTTTGAGCTGTCAGGTTGTTCTTAGCACTGGGCACACACATCTTATAATTCAGTGTGCAATTCTTGGAAGTGACATACTGATCCGGAGTTTTACGACCACTGAGTTGCTTCTTGCTTTTCGTGTGTCTCCAGCTGCACGAGTGGTATCCTGACAAGCTCAGGTAGGGCAGCAGAGTACACACCATGGTGTGTGCCAGGATGGCTGCTGCCTGTGTGTCAGCTAACCCAGGACATTCCTCTACAGCTGTACCCATGCAGGAGCAATATTGGCAACGGCTGGGAAGATTCATAAGAGATAATTAAACAAATATGGGGCAGCTACAGCCATAGATGAGCAAAAGCAAATCAGGATGCAGCTCTGCTGTTCAGCAAACAGGAACAGCCAGAAAAGGGCCAAAGGTTTCTCTGACTACTTGGGAACTGGGGTATTAGCCAGTGTTTCCTTGAGCGGATGGTAGAAGGAACTTTTATCGTATTTCTCTGATCATGAAAATGATAAAAAAGATGAGCCTAGATCTGTGTGGGTTTGAGAAATGGAGACAGCTACTTAATAAGGAACATTTGAAGAGAATGTTCTGTACCCTCTATTTTAGCAGCCACATGTCAGAAGAAAGATTACTGGTTCCATTGAAAGCCATGGGAAAGGCCGTGTAAGTAGAGCAGATGAGGTGCTCCATGATGGTGATTAATGCTGCTCAGAACTGCCTGATGAACTGTTACTTCATCAAGACACCCATTTCTCATGGTGGTTCAACTTTTGCAGTTTCCATAAAATTGTCCTGCCTTTCCCTTGCTTATCTAGAAGGAGGAGCAGTTTTGAGAGGCCTTGGGCTCCCTCCCTCTTACACAATTCTGGTTGTAGGTTGACTCGATGTAAACTTCGACAGCACGTGCAACTCCTCAGTGAAATGCACAAGCCTAATGGTAATTCCACTGCATAAGTGCCAAAGTGTCAGGAAATTATTTTCTTTTAGACATACCATCTAGTTTGGTTGTTTTGTTAATTTTCTTTTCTTAAAGAAACTGCTTGTTCTTATGTCCCTTCCAGACTGGGACAAAACCACACTTCAGAATGTCACACTTTCCCTAGAACTAGAAATGGAAAGCCCGAGCCAACTCCAGTATTGACTTAAATTTAATACTTAATGCTATAAATCCATTTGCAGGCTTGACAAACAGCAGCCATGAAGCTGGGTGTGTTCGCCCCAAATATTGCATTCCTTCTATACTCCCTCCATTTTTTGCAAAGTTTACTGTCAGGTGTAGGTCATGATGATGTTTATGTGCTGGTTTCCTGCTTCTTTTTAAGGAACCGGTGCTGGGAAGCTGGTCACACCTCCACAACCACCAGCAAGATCTCCAACAACTGAACTTACAAGCAAGTCTGGAGTCTCAGCCTGGGCTACAGCTCATGACCCCTACCCACCACTCAAAAATGGAAATATGCACATCATTGGTAATGTCATCTAAATTAGATCTCTTAGCCTTAGTTAATAATTTTAGTACAAAGGCCTGTGTGTGTCTCACACCTCAAAAGCTCACTTGAGACTTTCTCCTAGCAATAGCAGGGTTGTGTAATAGAAACATTTTTGTACAACCTTATACAATGATAAAAAATTAAGGTTTTTTTCACAAAGGGTTTGAATCAGTCAGTAGAAAAGAAAAGCACATATCACCTGCAAAATTATTTAAGAATATGAAAAGTTCCCGCAATGTGCTTATATTACCATTCTTAAAACCGGGTCATGGACCTACAGAACAAAGACCAGTAAGAATTATTTTTGTGGTCTGATGAATTGGCCATTCATTCTTGTTTATAGCTAAGTGGCTTAAAACCCACCAAGGAATACCTCTATTGCAACAATACCGTCAATGCACAAAACTGGAAGAACAAGAAGAAGCTTCACTTCAGTCTTAGCAGCAGGCAGTAATTTCAATAAAGGCAGAAAATTTGGACAGCTCACAGAAGTACTCATCAAGATGGTTTGTATGGAATGAACTACTATCAGTTCCAGGAGAAAACAAGTCAGCATTTTTAATTGAAATTACTTGCAGCAACATTGTTGGATTTGGTGGGGGTTTTTTTAAGTTTCTCTCTAACAGCAACTAATTTTTACTTCCCTGAAATTTCCCAGATGACTTTGAATCTAAATTTACTTTCCATTCTGTGGAAGATTTTCCCCCACCTGATGAATTCAAGCCATTTCAGAAAATATATCCCAGCAAGATAGCTAGAGGTAAGTGTGTAAACATGAAAAGATCTGATAATTATCAAGAGGATTATAAAATGGGGAGGGAAAATAAAGAACAGAACTAGCATTAAAGTAACTGGGCTGCTAGCGTAGGCACAGAGAGAAATGGGATTTGTCACAGTGGCAACAGAGACCAAAGATATAATGAAAAGCACTTAATTAATTACTTTAAAGACTTAGTGGCTAAAAATAAAATGTGGCTGGACAGGCAGCCTCTATTTTTTAGACTGCTGAATTTGCAAAGCCTTTGATGTTAAAAACAGTGATGCCGTAAAACAGACTTGGCCATCTACTGAGTTGGGTGTTTTGTTCATTAACTTGTGAAATCACAAAAAGAAAGTGACTCGGTCCATTTCTTCCATCGTGTGTTTTGATTTAAATCCTATGCATGGTAGTAACAAAGGGACTTAGTACCTGAACCTTGTCAGGAAAGTGATAAATGGCTGAACCTTGCTTTTTACTTCTCCCCCTGTAACTTAGAAACATGGCACCAGGTCACTGTTGTAAGAGCAGAAGTTCATCTATCCAGCTTTGACAGTGGGTAGTTGAAGGTGCCAAAAGATCTCATGCCCATATTCTGCTTTTTATAAAACCCAGTATTCTGTATTATTAGATCAGCTATTTATCTCCAACTTTTAATTAACCTGTTTGTTTGTTTCCGTGCTAAGGTATTTTGCATGACTTGACAGCCTCAGTTAGTCTGAATTGTCTGATGTATGATCTGATCTGATCAAAGACTTGTTACTGAAGGGCTACAGAACATGAGCAATATGTTTATGTCTGTCTGTATATATATATATATCTCACATCAGAGGTAGCAGATAAATGCAGCATCCCTGATGTATAACTGCATCCAAAATACCTATCAAAAAAAAATATATCTTATCTCCTCTGATTAAATCTGTCCTATCTATTTACAGATCCTTCTAAAAATCCTCCATTAAGAACACATGTGAGATGAGAAGAGTCTGCTGATGCTCTCTGGAAGAGTATTAAAAAAGAACATCAAGATAATATATAAAACAGAAGGGGTCCCCATTGCAGTGATAGTGATTGTATTTGAGTCACAAGTACTGCAGTGTAAACATTTCTATGAACTGGAAAAATGGTGTAAATGATACCTTTTTAGCTGGCCTACATACTACAGGAACGTTAGTACAGGCTTTTAAATTATTGTAAATAGGTGGATATTTTTTAAGCAAAGCAGCATAAAATTTAAGTTATTTGTCGTGTTGAAACAATTCTCATTCTTATAATGCTGACAATGTTATCTCAGAATGTTTTGCATTACATGCCTCTATTTCTTTTTTCCCCTTTCATCACAATTTTTAAGTATTTTGGAAATTCTCCAGTTATTATTCAGACATTTTTTCAATGAACTGTCAAACTACTGTACTACCTTTAGTCTCTTTTTATGTTCCTTCGCTTCTATTCTGCCTATCCTCAGATTGCAGCAGGATGTCACTTTCATGAAGGGACAGGTCCACAATCCTTCTCTCATCAAGCATGAAGAGGAGATGACAAGGAGCTGTGGCTGCTGTTGAACCTGTCTCCTACTGATTACAGATCCTTATAGGATAGTGTCTGAAGAAGACCAGCCTGGGTAGGGTGGTCATGGATTTGACAAAGATGACAGAACTTCTCCAGAGTAGAGGAAAAGAAAGTTGCTATATTGTAAGCAAAAAAAAAAAAAAAAAAAAAAAAGGTGTGTGTGAATACATATACCACGATGTATGTATGTAAGGGCACATGTCCTGTCTTTTCCTGCTGGCAAAGTGGATATTTACTGTCACATTTCTGTGAGAGTTTGCCTTTACTCAGCAATTACGAGGCCATTCGATGAGAGGTCCAAACCCCACATTTTAAACAGGCAACTAGAACTACTGTTGTTCACCCGCAGTGAGGATTCATTGTCCAAAACACACCACATGGAAGAAGCAATCCCCACAGTGGTTGTCTTGAAGAAAGTTTTAATATTCAGCTAGGTGTAAGGTCCTTGATGTTCAGATCTGGTCCTAAAATGTCTATTTCTCACAAGAATTACACTTACTCCTGTGCACTTCACTGCATTAGGAGGAGTGGTGCCAGATTGAGGGAGGTGATCCTTCCCCTCTACTCAGCACTGGTAGGCTGCACCTGGAGTGTTGTGTCCAGCTTCTGGGCTCCCCAGTGCAAGGGAGACATGGCCATACTAGTGAGAGTCCTACAAAGGTGATGAAAGGACTGGAGCATCTCTCCTACGAGGAAAGGCTCAGAAAACTGGGGCTGTTCAGCCTAGAAAAGAGAAGGCTCAGAGGGGACCTCTTCAATGTGTATAAATACCTGAAGGGATGGTATAAAGATGGAGCCAAGTGACTTTTCAGTGATGCCCAGTGACAGGACCAGAGGCAAGGGGCACCAGCTGCAACAGAGGCGGCTCTGGCTGAACATCAGGAAACATTTTTTAATTGTGAAGGTGACTGAGCACTGGCACAGGTTGCCCAGTGACATTGTAGAGCCTCACTCCTAAAGATACTCAAAAACTATCTGTACTTGGTCCTGGGCAACTGGCGCTAGCTGACCTGGTAGAGCAAGGAGGCTGGACTGGATGAACTCCAGCCATCCCTTTCAACCTCAAACACTCTGATTCCCCCTTTTACAGCTTTTCTGAGTTCCTACACCTGGGTCACAATAACCCCATGCAGTGCTACAGGCTTGGAGCAGAGTGGCTGGAAAGCTGCCTGGCACAAAAGGACCAGGGGGTGCTCATTGAGAACTGGCTGAACATGAGCCAGCAGTGTGTCCAGGTGCCCAAGAAGGCCAAGAGCATCCTGACTTGAGGCTCAGGGAAGACCTTATTGCTATAACCTGAAAGGAGGCTGTAGTGATGTTGGGGGTCAGTCACATCTCTCAAGTAACAAGCCACAGGACAAGAGGAAATGGCCTCAAGCTGTGCCAGGGAAGGTTTAGATTAGATATTAGGAAAAACTTCAAAGGGTGGTCAGGCATTGGAACAGGCTTCCCAGGGAAGTGGTAGAGTCACCACTTAAATATGTGGAGGTATTTAAAAGATGTGTAGAGGTGGCACTTGGGGACATGGTTTAGTGGTGGACTTGGTAGTGCTGAGTTAACAGTTGAACTCAATGATCTCAAATTTTTTTTCCAACCTAAATGATTCCATGACTCACCAACTTGAGAAAGGACACTGCTGTTCCAGGGTGAGTCTGGTGCCAACAGCAAGGCTATTTACAGTTATGGCAATAATTTATATAATTGCCACCAATTCCCCTCAGTTACAGCTGTAATAATGTTATAGATCACAGGTGATCTTTCCCCATGGTGTTGCCTTTGAACAAAACTATTTGGAAAAGACAAGTAACTGCAGCTTTATATATCTCTGCTTTTCTCTTGTAGCAGCTCAGTTGTGCTGTAACTTTATTTCCACACACATAGGTTCATGGTGTGAGATGGTGTAAGAGTAAAAAGCACTTCACCTGTAGGACTATAAGAAAGCAGCATTAGTCTTTTTCTAGCCTATTATGATACCTTGCTGTACATCATGGGAAAAGAAAAAAAATTGGTGATGCTTTGACCAATACTGTCACTGTCATTATTGTAGTTACTTGATAAATATGCATGAATACAGTAATAAGCAGGGGTCTGCATATACATTGCTTCTCAAACAACTGGAAAAGTTTAATAGTGCTTTAAAGACTATTTTGTTATAGTACTATTAAAGGTGACGTTTTGTTGGTTCTCACTTGTTCTGAAACTTGTGTACTGCTTTGTAAAAAGTAACTTCATAGGGATTTTAAAACTATTTAATGCTAGACTATCTGCCAGAAGATATTTGAAGAAGAAAAAAATTCATTTTTGTTATGCTTCAGGTATTTTAGAAGCAAGCAACATCTTTCAGGGATTAAATTAGAAATCCTGTGCGTATTTGCAAGCACTGGTGAAATGGCATTTCCATATTTGTATCATTCAAGATCCATTGAAGCTTCTGGAGTTGCTGTTACCTGGAGATACAAAGAATCACAACTGGCTGTCACCCTACAGCAACTGTCCCACAAGTCCTATTGAGCCACAGCTGTGCTCAAGACCACTGAAATTGTTAAGACCATGGGGTTGCTCTGGTTTCTAATGATTGCACCCAACTATGTAGCTGTAACACAGTATATGTTTTTTAAAACGCTCTACACTACTGAAGCAAAAGCAATACAGTATTAGAAAATTACTACCTGGATCTCTGTGCTCAAAACAATTTATTAGTTCTGTCATATAAGCACTTCCAAGGACATAAACTCCCACAACAATGTAAGTGCAAATGTCAGTTTCTTCTGTCTTAAAAAAACAGGCAAATAAGATATATTATGTTTTTAGCAGGAACACCTTTCATCTTGCCTCCCTCCCAACTCTCAAACGTCAGAAATCCAAGTTGTGCAAAATAGCTGTGTGAAGTGACCCTCTGACTGGGGCAGTCATTTTATCCCTGTTCTCCCCTTGTTCACAATATCCACCAACAGCTGGATGCAACAACTTACAGAAGCAGAAGCAGCTTTAAAATTCACCATGGTGTGTGTTAAGTGTACTCTGATTAGGAGTATTTTTATTCAAAGTACCCTCTCATTCCAGAAGTGATTCCATGGGAAATCCATTTACTTTACTTACAGGCAGCTGGCAAAAGCACACTTCTCTTTCAGAGGGTTCATCCAGCACAATACCCTCTGAAATGAAGTGTGCTCCTTGTAGTCAGTCCCTATCCTGGCTACGGTAGAGAGCAGCTAAGTTTCAGGGTTTACTTGTGAATTTTCTCCTTCCCTTGTCTCCACTTTCAGAATACCTCGGCACAGGAGTTGGTCCTGTAAAAGAGAGCATGGGAGGAGTGTATTGTGAAAGGGAGATTAGTGGGTAGGACTTAAGAAAAAATATCTTCATGCTTGTTTTCTGTAAGCAAAAAGGCCCAATGTTTTCTTGTCCAATTGCCAGTTGTCATATAAGGCAATATCAAAGTAATGAGTCTGAATAAAACAATTTCATTTAGAAAATCCTGAGAATGCAGTGCACCAATATGGCAATGACTATTTCCCTGATGCACAACTCTTACAGTTTCAAGTTGAGGTGTTGCTGCCTTCTAAGGAGCTTTTGCTTCCTCAATATAGAAGTCCATGGTTCTTCAGCATCCCCTTTCCTGAACAGTGAAGGATTTTAACTCCACGTGCTAACTTCCACTTATTAAAGACATGGACTTGTCTGAACCTGCTGTTTAAACAAAAACCCAAACATCTTCATCAGACACAGGAAGCAGTGTTTACTGATTTAATTCTCAAAGTGTTTCCCTATTTCACTTCCACAAGAAGAAAATACATGAAAAGCAGGTCTGCCTGAAGGACTGTCAGGGCAGGGAAGCATGCTGCAGAACTGCACTTAATGTAAGGAAGCATAACACAGCCATTTCTAAGCCTAACCAGTTGGATTGCCACACCCACCAGTAACTCACTGGTACTGAGTGAATTCATCAGCCATGTATCTCACCACAGAGATGACTAGGAACTGTTCAGCAGTACAAAGGCAGAAAGATGGAGAACAGCCAGGTATTGATCAATGTCCATCCAGCATTCCTTAAAAAAATTCCAAATTTGTAGCTTGCATATAAATTCAACACCTTATTAATTGCATCTTAGGAGCCAATAGATGATGTGTAGACGTCTTGGCATCCAGGTTGGCTCTGCATTTCAGTACTTGGTACTAGCACAGCAGCCAGGTGCCCTAAGCTAAGCGAAGGCAAAACTTAACCTGGGGGACTTGGTTCTGATAATTTGTGCAGGCATTATGTCAGGTGCTGAATTGCTGTAATCAGATATGCCCATTTGAGGCCAGCACAAGGTCGAGAACCAGGACTTACCCTCCTGCCTGCCTGCAAAACCGGGATTTGAACTCCACCATTCTCTGTATGAATTAGCAAGAAGAGAAAAATGCAAGTCAGCTTTGCTGCAAGTCCTGAGCAAAGGAGGGAAAACCAGATTGCTTTCAAAAACGATATCGAAGTTAGCCTGATGAAGTTAATCTTTGCTTTAATTGGTTGCCCAACATACATGTTTAAACATTCTGTACTAAATTAGCCAGCATGCACACAGTAATTGGACCAGTCAGTGACTTTCTCCTTTCACTATATACATACACAAACAGAAACACCACAAGATTGGACAAAGGAAAGCAATTTGTTAACCGGATACAGCTAGCAAGTAACATTTTTTCCTCTAGAAATGTTTTTTCCTGCAAATTCACAAGTGTGAAGACTTTCTTTCAAGGCTTGAAGAACATTGCAGTCTTCCAGTGAAAAGGCTAACAATAGCCACCATAGCTGAAATGAGATAAAATTTGTTGAAAATCCATTCCAAGCAAGAGTGAAATTGAAAAAACAGTTGTCTGCAATGCAGCATAGGGAAAAGGGACATTGGAGATCATTTGAGCAGGTAGAAAGGTGGCTTTGGACCCGATTCTGAACACCCTTAGCTTAACATAAAAGAGGAGGAGATGCAGAATCGGATCCAATATTTCACTGGTACCAAAAACTCAGTATCTAAAGAATTAAAGTGTTTGCTTACTTTATTTGAAGAACTTTAGTTCTGTGTCAACACAGTCATAGAAAAGATCCACTACTTCAGCAGGATCCAGAATCTCTGTCCGAGAAAGGATATCTTCCATTGCTTCTAAACCTTGTTT